ATTTAATTACATTTATGGTTTTACGAATGTTGAACCAGCCTTGCATCCCAGGGATGAAGCCTACTTGGTCATGATGGATGATTTTTGAGATGTGTTGTTGGATGCAGTTCGCTATGATCTTGTTGAGAATTTTAGCATCTATGTTCATCAAAGATATTGGCCTGTAGTTCTCTTTCTTTGTTGGATCTTTACCTGGCTTGGGTATCAATGTGATGTTAGCTACGTAAAATGATTTGGAGAAAGTTCCATCTTTCTCAATTGCCTGGAATGCCTTCAGTAGGATTGGTATCAGCTCCTCTTTAAATGTCTTGTAGAATTCTGCTGGAAAGCCAACTGGTCCAGAGCTTTTTTTGTAGGTAGTTTTCTTATTATGTAGTCAATTTCCTTTATTGTTATTGGTCTATTTAGGGTCTCAATTTCTTCTTGTTTCAACCTAGGCAGGTTGTGTGATGACAGAAAGTCCTCCATTTCCTTAAGGTTTTCAAGTTTGTTTCCATACAAGTGTACATAGTAGTCTCTAATGATCTTTTGTATTTCTTCCCGGTCAGATGTGACTTCATCTTTTGTGTTTCTGATTGTGTTTATTTGGGCTTTTTCTCTTTTTCTTGGTCAGTCTAGCTAGGGGACCATCAATCTTGTTTTCCTTTTGAAGAACCAGCTTTTTGTTTCATTGATTTTTTGTATTATCTTTTTGTCTTCTATGTCCTGGATTTGGGCTTTTATTTTGGTGATCTGAATTCTTCTGCTGAAATTAGGGCTTTTGTGGTCTTGCTTTTCCAGCTTCCTTAGGTGGCTTGTTAGGCTGTTAATTTGTGATCCTTCCATTTTCTTCAAGTGCGTTTGTAGGGATATAAATTCCCCTCTTACTACAGCTTTCATGGCATCCCAGAGATTTTGGTAAGACACATTTTATTTTCAAAGAGTCAAATATATAATGAGAGATAAATGTTCTTGAACATAACAAAAAGCAATGATTTATTTGAGTCAGAGAATACTTTCTGGAAGAAATCACTCTCAATAGGGTTCCTGAAGTAACTGATAAGTGTAGAAGGGAGCAGAGCACAGACATGGGCTCTGTGGAGGACTATAAACAGGCAAGCTGGACCCCAACGTCCGTTAAGAGTAACAACTATAGCAAACCAACACATTACATGGCGTTGACCTTGTGCCAGCCCTTAAGCACTATTAACCTACTCCTCAGAACTGTCTTATGCATAGGGATTACTATTATCTTCCCATTTTACAGACGATGACTCAGACACAGAGCCAAAAACAGCATTCAAGAAAGCTTATACTTGTGGCTGTGTTCAAGGTCACCTAGAGCAAGACAATAGTCGAGGAGTGACTCGGATTCTACAGATGGCAGCAGAAGACTCATCTGAATGACTGATTGAAAATGGGCCACACAAGGAAAAGCTACATCAAAGTATAACCCAGAAGTTCTAGAGAAAACAACAATACAGACTGATGTGACCGATGTTACTTATTAGAACTTTTGGAAGAGGTCATAATATTATGGAGATGATCAGTTTCTTGCCTATTATGTTTCTGAAACTGGAGCTTATTAATGAACTGAAAAGAGGGATATGGAAGCCATCCAAAGGAAAAAAGGTGACTGACTTTCAACAACTTCAAGTAATTCATGAGACATTTCTAGAACATCTACTGTGTACCAAGCCTCGTGCTAAGCCCTGGAAATATGGTAAGTAGTCACACAAACATGCATGGTCTATGGGAGAGACCATTTCTTCATTTAATAATTTCAGGGTGGTAGGTGCACCCATCATAACAGGCCAATGGTCTCCCGGATGATTTCACTATCTTTCCATTTCCCTGTTCTGCCTTCTTTCTCTTAAAACTTTGATACCCAAAATTTTCCTAGAAAATAGCATAATCGCTGTAATTAGTTGAAATTTCAGTTTTTGTTTTTTGCTTGTTTTTGGTAGAACTGGAGTAGGTTCAGCAGAGACAGCAGAAGCAGACAAAGAAAGCACTATAATCCCTCAAATAATCCACTGGCGTTTTTATCTGCTGCTACGTTGAGATGTTCTGTTCAGTGATTTGACAGAAGGAGGTGGTTGAATTCTTGTCAAATAAATGAAAGCAATAGTGAACAGCTGCACCCCACAATTTTAACAAGCTCGTTGTTACTTTGTTAACACTGCTTAAAGACAACCTACGAAGGTATTAGGAGGAATATACTGAAGGAGCTCACTTTGAGAGGCTTTTTCAAATCAATATCAGAATGAATGCTCAGCTCTCTTAGGGCATCTCCAACAAGGTTGTTCCTACGAACGTGAAGGACGAGGAAGGGGCTTCTGGCCAGCAGAGGCTCCAGGGTGAGAAGCATGAAGACGTTCTGCAGGTTGGCTCCATTGACCGCTACCTGGAACAGCACAACAAGAACACATCACTCAGCACACACCCAGGGGTGGAGGGAGCATACAGCTGGCTTTCGGACTTGGGGGAGCCTGACTGCACCTCCATTTTGTGCTTTTTTTCCCTCTTAACTTTCCCTGGTTTTCTAAATTACTTTTATTAGACAGCACACAGGAGGTCATTCTAATATGGACTCAGAGATGAACTGAAGGAGTTATGATCTATAACTAGGGCTAGGAAAGTAATTTAGACTAGCTGATCAAGACTAAAAATAATACCATACCTGAAGAAATGATAGAGAGTGGGTAAAAACCATGACTTGCAAAATGGCAGAAAGAGAACCCTAATAACCACTTGTTAAAGGGTTTTTATTCTTTGAAAAAGTCCATTTCTCTAAAGAACCTTTAAATTGTCAATACCCTAGATATATCAGTATGAAAACAGACTTAAATGTTTAAATAGATACAGAGCTGGAAAGAGAGATGGGGGGGAAGAGAGCACAAAAGAGAGAAAAACAGATGAAGTTATATATCCACCAACAGTAGGAATTGGTGAATATGGATTCACAAATGTCTTTGTGGATTGTCAAAATCAATTACAGTAAGTCTTCTACATATGAATCAATTACAAATCAAATGTAAGTCCCCTACATATGAACCTTCAAGTTGTGAAGTTTCCAAGATGCAAACGTGATGCCATGCCCTGTATGCCAGCTGTTATACTGTACTGTACCACTGTACTTTTCAAGGTACTACACTATTAGATTTAAAATGTTTATTTTTTGTCTTTGTTTTTATTACTTGTATGAAAAGTATTATAAACCTATTACAAAACAGTACTGTATAGGCAACTGTGTTAGTTGGGGACCGAGGCTAAATTTGTGGACTTAAGAACAAATTGGAATTATAAACGCATTCTTGGAATGGAATATGTTTGTATGCAGGGGATTTAACTGTATACTTTAAAAATGTGTTTTAAAAATAAATTATTAAATAAATCTCTGTAAGTTGAGTTTCTATTCAACAACGAATTACCAAGCTGTATTTAATTATCTCTCTTTCTCTATGTCTGGGATCAACATGTCAAATCCAGCCTGCTGTCTGCTCTTACACAATTCTTGAGTTAACTTTGGCTTTCACATTATTAAATGGTTGAAAAAAATTTTTTTACGCCAGGCTCGGTGGCTCAGCCTGTAATCTCAGAGCTGAGGTGAGTGGATTGCCTGAGCCCACAGGTTCAAGACCCACCTGGGCAACTTGGCAAGACCTCACCTCTACAGTAAATCAAAAAATAAGCCAGGCGTGGTAGTGCACCCCTGTAGTTCTAGCTACTTGGAAAGCTGAGGCAGAAGGATCACCCGAGCCCAGCAGTTCAAGGATGCGATGGCTGTGAGCAGCATGCCACTGCACTCCAGACTGGGCAACAGGGTGAGACTCTGACTAGAGAAGAGAAGAGAAGAGAAGAAGGGTGTGTGCAAAAATGGTCCCAAAGGAGCTCTTGCTTCACCACAATGCACCAGCTCACACAGCACTCTCTGTGAGGGAGATTTTAGCCAGTAAACAAACAACTCTATTGGAACACCCACCCTGCTCACCTGAGCTGGTCCGCAGTGACTTTTTTCTCTACCTAAAGATAAAGGAAATATTGAGCCAGGCTCAGTGGCTCAGCCTGTAATCCCAGCGCTTTGGGAGGCTGAGGTGAGTGGATTGAGCCCGCAGGTTCAAGACCCACCCCGGCAACTTGGCGAGACCTCATCTCTACAATAAATCAAAAACATTAGCTGGGCGTGGTAGCGCGTGCCTGTAGTTCCAGCTACTTGGAAGGCTGAGGTAGAAGGATCGCCGGAGCTCAGCAGGTCGAGGCTGCAGTGGCCGGGAGCAGCCACTGCACTCCAGTGTAGGTGACAGAGTGAGACTCCAACTCAAAAAAAAAAATTAAAAATTAAAAAATAAAAATTAAAAAAAAAAGAAATTTTTTTAAAGAATACTATTTCATCACATGTAAAAATTATACAAAATTCAAATTTCAGCGTACATAAAGCTGTACTGGAATACCACCATGCTCATTCAGTTATATACTGTCTATCGCTGCTTTTATGCTATGATAGAGTTGAACGGTTGTAACAGAGACCATATGGCCCACAAAGCCTAAAATATTTACAAAGGGGTCCTTTACAGAAAATGTTTACCAGTCTCTGGTCTACATAAATGTGCACTCACATATGTATGCTATGTTCAACATAAAATTACTAAAAAAGTTTGGAACAGTTTTAAGAGTTATAATGAAATTTCATCCAAGTATGTTTTTTCCTATTAGGAAAAATTACAAAAGAATGTCTACAATGAGAAAAACATGAAGAGGAAGTCATTTTCAAGACATGATACCTGCATCTGTAGTTCAGCATCAGTCTGTAACATTTTGGTCTTGGCTTGAGCATCAAAGATGAAAGGGTAGGAACAAAGCGTTACAGCATCCTAGAGCGAAACACATTGTTGGCAATATTATAGTATTCCACAGAGAACACTGCTGGAAAAATATATAAGCAAATTTTAAAAGGATCATTTACCTGTATTATAGATGGTCTAGTCTTCTGTGTAAAGAAAAATAAAAAGTCTTTTACTTTGATTGTAATACCTGAATTTTAACCTCCCCAAAAGTAAACATAAGTAGTAAAACACAGAGCCTATTTGACTATTTAGCCATGGAACTAGCACTATTTGAATAGCTGACTAAGTTTTGATGAAATAGGTGTATTGATAGACATAGACTGAGAAAAAGACCAAAAATCTTTTTAAAAATATTTTCAAAGAGTCTTTAAAGGCCGTGTCACTAACTCTCCACAATTCACAGCACTAATAGAATTCTCTTTTATAAGAAATCTAATTGCAAAGCAGGAGCTTTACAACCGTGACTTCAGAAGTAAATTTTGTTGGGTTAAGTGGTTAATGCAAATTACATCTTATTTGTTAAATGATATTATTTCTTCCTTCTCACACACACACACACACACACACACACACACACACACACACACACACACAATGAGTTAATCTTAGGAGAAACCAAATTTATTTGTTTGTTTTGGGTCAGGGTCTTACTCTGTCACTCAGGCTGGATGCAGTGCAGTGGCATGATCACGGCTCACTGCAGCCTCGACTGCCTATAATCTCAGGTGATACTTCCATCTCAGTTGCCTGAGTAGCTAGTTCTACAGGTGTGTGCCACCACATCCAGCTAATTTTTTAATTTGTTGTAGAGATGAGATCTTTCTACATTTCCCAGGCTGGTCTTGAACTCCTGAGCTCAAGCAATCCTCTTGCCTTGGTCTCCCAAAGTGCTGGGACTACAGGCCTGAGCAACCATGCCTGGCTGAAACCAAGTATTTAGAAAGAATTTAAAGTGCTTCTAAAAAGTACATTATCTATTAAGCTGTCCCTGACTCAGCACTTAGAGTAACACTTGGCCTGCAGAAGGTACTCTACTCCATCAATACATGAATGAATCTGTGAATAAACTTCAGAGGGGAGTAATAGTAAATAAACACAACCACAATGAAGCATATCTAAGAGGTATAATATAATTTCATGTATCCAGAAAAAAAAACTCTTCTGAAAGTTTGTTAAATTATGTAACAAGCCGGGCTTGGTGGCTCAGCCTGTAATCCCGCCCCTTTGGGAGACTGAGGTAAGTGGATTGCCTGAGCCCGCGGGTTCAAGACCCGCCTGGGCA